GCATAAATATATTTATACTTCAAGCCAATTCACTGATCAAACATGAATCTCACTCAACACCTCATTAAAAATTAAACTCAGTAGAAAATACACTCTGTCTGAGGAGGAAAGCTTTCGACAGTGACAACGCACCATGATGTCGTGTCTTACTGCATCCACAAAGCCATTGTTCTGGGAGCAGAACCAGCCCAGCGAGGCTTGTCTGTGGCCGGTCCCCTGCCTCTGCTCCCTCCGAGTCCCGAGGCTGGTCTGCTGCGTACATACACAGGAATGTGGGCCTCTGAGGCCTGAAAGGGTGGACTGTGTCCAGTGTCCAGTGAGGGTGGACGGGCACAGTGTTCCGTGCGTGGACCTCCTTCCTGACGGACAGGAGCTGCGTCTAGTGATGGTGGGTCATCTGTCCATGGGTCTGAAGAACACCCAGCTGCGCTGGAACAAGGCTCACCCTTCAGCCAGCCCTCCCATTCTTCGTTCCATGCAGAGGGATTTCTTCCCACCATACTGCGTGTTCCGGGGCGTCTGCCTTTTGACCTCCATGATAAACCATGGGTTCCTCGGGTGCTGGGTTCATTGAATCCTCTGGATTCCGCATCTCTGGGGTTCCTGCTCTGTGCCTTAAATAAAGTTGGTCCTCAGCAGTTTTAAAGGTCACATGGATGAATGAGTGACCCAACTTTTCTTCGTATATTTATTGCTGGTGAGAGGGAGAATTACCTTCCCCAAATCCAATTTTCTTACCATATAGACTTGAAAGTTCTTATAAGAATCAAACACTCCCATCAAGGAAGACAGAGCTGAAAGAAAGGGGAGGGATTTGACACCCTGTTGTCCTCCAGGCCCTGAGCTGGCCTCCCCCCTGTCATCTTCTTTAAGTCTCACTGCGAGCCTGGGGCGGGCCCCCCCAGCGTTCAGTGCGCACAGCAGCAGGGCCCTCTGGGGGTTGCCGGCAGCATGCCTGGACCCCGGGCTTGGACGTGCTGTGGGCTCTGCTGCACAGACCCTCATCTTGTTCCTGTCCCACTCCTCGGCTGTCGTGGGGCTGCTGTAGCGAGGACGGAGGCCGTTAGCTTGTAACTGTCCCCGCTCCCCTGCGACCACATAGCAGCGCGCACGGCAGCTCTGTCATTTGTCAAACCCTGCGATGCCAGACAGTTTTATTTCTTTCAGAAAAAGGTTAAGCAAATCAAGTTTTCATGGCCCACAGCTGACCTACCGACAGGCACAAATTGCTTAAGGAGAATTCATCTTACTGCGGGTGAAATCAATCAATCGGGGATGGTTCCTCAGCGGGGCCTGCTAGGAGCAAGCAGCCGGGGAAGCAGAAAGGACCCAGCGCACCTCGAGGCCCCAGGCTCTCCACCAGGTCCAGGCCCTGCCGCGGGAACTCACCGAGGACAGAAGTTTCTTGTTCATGGTGGTCATCCAGTCCCTCTCTCCCTGGACCCAGCCTGTGTCTCCAAGGAAAAGCATCCAGTAACCATGTGCTGAGCCGGACCAAGGGTTAGGCCACTCCTGAGCTGTATGTGGCACCCGTGGGAACACGGTCCCTGCTTTCCTCACATCTGGTGGCCCCCTGCTGTGCCCCTTGCCTCACACCCTTGCTATACCTTCATAGGGGTCCCCTCACCCGACAGCCCAGCCCCTCACACACCCTGGCTTTGCCCTCCACCCCCACACCCTGCTATTCACTCCCCTCCACCTAGTGTCTTCCCTTCCCCCTGACCTCGGGTGCTACCAGTCCCTATGAGAGCCCTCCCTGTGACTTTGTTCTCCTCATCTGCAGAGATTGGACCTGAACCGGGATTGCTCCTAAGCGGTGTCCAGCCTCTCCCAAGGCTCAGAGGATCCAGAGAAGAACCTGATGTCAGAGCCGTGCTGGCGGGAGAGGACCCGCTGGGCGCTTTGGGCCCAGAAATAGGGAGCAGGAAGCGAGATAACAGAGCTGAGCTGTTCTGTGGACACAGCAAGAAGAGAGGGCAGTCACCCTATGGCTGAGTGACAGGGGCTGCTCTCATGGAGCATGTCTCCATTCTCCCCATTAGACACGCTGGCATTTGACCCTGTAGCTGCAGTGACAGGGATGAAAATGAGTGCCCGAGAAGTCACAGCACCTGCTCCTCGTGATCCCCTGCCCACACCGAGACCTGGCCTTCGTGTTGGGACTTCTCCTTTCCACCACCTCAGGGCCAAGGGGGGTGGGAGACCAGGGGCAAGGCAGGGCTTGGAGGAGTCACAGGATAAGCCGATTAACATGGCAGGAGAATGTCTGGGGCAATAAGACAAAGCGGGTTCTGGAGGAGAAAAGATGAGGCGGATGTGGCAGAGATGCTGGGTTTGGGGAGGAAGAGAGAAGTTCCCTGTCCCAGGGTGTGTCTGAATGCAGGGAAGGTTGGTTGTGTTGGAGAAACAACTCCCCTCACGAAGGCATCCATCACTTGGGGCTAGCCTACCATCACAGTGAACACGGCCCCATGGGGAACTGCAGCAGGCAGCTGGGGTCAAGGTCTCGCTTACAACCTGACAAAGCCTGGAGGTGGTACTTCTTATGAGCTGACTTGTATCCTCCAAAGAATATGCTGAAGTCCTAAACCATGTACCTGTGGATGTGACCTCTTTTGGGAATAGGGTCAAGTGTCCAAATCCTGGCTTTTGAGCTTCATACTAAACCAAAACAAAAAGTACCTACTTCAGGCACAAGATAGGAACAATTGGAAGAATCTAGAGCTTCTCGCCTCACCCCAACCTTGTCCCAACCCACAACTAGGTGTGGCCCAGCCCCACAGATCACACCAGAGGATATTCGACTGGCTCAGATCCCCAAATCATTCAGTAATTTTCCACATGGTAATGTTACAGGCACACAACATTATTTTATATGGTGTCTGGGGAGGCGGTCTGGCATGAAGTGGTTCATTTGACTAAGATGAGATATAATAGACAAAAGGACACCGCTATTGATAAAACTACACTTTTGTCTCCTTTTAGGTAAGGTTCTTGAGTTGTCTGATGAAGGATTCAAGAACTGAAAAGATAAGAACATTTACTTAAAAACTAATTTTCATCTCAGGTCCAAGTGCAAAACTACAGCTCCAGTGACATCATGTTTCAGGTCCGAGCACCACATGGTAAGTGTGCCTCGGATTCATCTTCTCTTTCATAGTACGTTTGAAGCATTTTGCCAGAAACATCTATTACCTAAGTTGGAACGATGACAGCTCAATTATGTTGTTAGCTTTACAATGAAGAACGGAAATAATGATTCGTAGAAAAAGACAGATAAATTTACTTGTTCCAAATTACAGATCCTTCATGGTGGATCAAGAGCTTATTAGGACATTTTCTTTTGAAGACAAGGTAATTCAAGATAATGGTGGTGCCATTTCAACTAGTCATTGTCTTGATTGTGGGTTCTCAGACGCCTCCGGGCTGGTAGCACCACACAGAAGCAGCTGCTTCTTTAGTGTGTGTGTCTTGTGTGCTATGAGTCTGTTTGTGTCTCTGTGTGTTGTGTGCATATTTGTGTGCTGTGTCTTGTGTCTGTGTGTTGGGTACGTGTAGTGTGTCAGGGTGTGTGCTGTGTGTGTCTTAATGCATTGCGTGTGTTTTGTGTGTATATGAGTGCACATGCTATCTTCCAGGTTAGGTTACCTGGGCACAAAGGCTGCCTGGGTAGAGGGTGCCTTCAGAACGCTCCATCAAGCATCACTTTCACGTGTCTACTGATCACCTGCCCTTCTGCCTCATGGAGATGCTGTTTATTGTGTCCATTGTTGGGCAAAAATGCAGAAACAAGATTTTTAGTCATCATAAAAGCAGTGTTTGTTACGGCAAATGAGGCAGTGAACATATCCTAACAGCAGAGTGGATGGGAGCAGCCACATCAATAGGAGAGCAACTTGTTCCTTTGGTGGTGCTGCAGCTCTGGAGTTTAAAAGCCTGCTTATTTGGGGCAGAAAGAAACATGGGTGGACAACCCAAAAACTAGTGAAATCAGTTGTGTGTAGAGGTGGGTGGGAATGGGGTGAATGGGATAGGGAAATATACCATCTTATATAGTTTTAAATTTTGAATTATAGTTAATGATGTAGATGCTCAAGAAAATAAAATTAAATAATCAAGGATGGGGGTAAAATACTAAACTGAATACAAACAAAAGCAGTAAGCCTTACTATATTTTAAACAAATACACAGTGAAGAAGAAAAAAAATAGAACCAACCTAAGTAACGTCAAAGTCTTAGTTGAAAGGGGGACAGAAAAGGAGCTGCAAGCAAACCTTGAAGTCTTCCCAGGCTTGTTTCTCATGATACAGGGGTGGTGATTCTGAAACTGTTTGGTGTATGTTGTAGGATTGAACAAATGAGCAAATATATTGATTTTATTCGAAGCCAGTGCTCACAATGTTAGGGAGATAAAATTATGGGATGTGTGAAGGCAAGAAAGAACCATGTACCCTAGTTCATTGGAATCATTAGAATAAAAATCAGAAGCAGTGTTTTCCAATAAAAGGGCCTAGAAACAATGACAGCCCAGAAGCAACAAATATACTTCGTATGAAGGTCTTGATTTCCAAATACCGTTCCATGCTAAACAGCAGCTTCTTGGAGAAATGGCAGGTTCCAGGGAAGGGACAGGAAAAGTACAAGATAAGCCTTAGAATGTCTTGGGCCAGAAAGTGCTCAAAAAGAAAGAAAGGGACATGTCACAAGGACATAAAAGAAAGCCTAAAAGACTTTATTGGCAAAAGCTGGGACAATTAATTACATAAAAAGGAATAATAACAGTAATGGACTGGCTGTGCCCTCAGCGGTCCCAGATCTGTCTCTTGCTGCAGCAGTGTTTGGATGGAACAGACCCAGGGACACCCCTCCTTCCAGCCTCTGACCACTCTCCAGCCTCTTTTCCACTCACCACCTCCGGAACCATCTCAGCCATCCTCAGCCTCTAAGACCAGGTTTGTTGTTGTTGTTTTTAACCTTAACTCCTTATTGCCGAACATCCAATGAGCTCCCAGATTCATCAGAATTATTTCCCTGAGGTGGAGGCTGCCGTCACTACCTGGTCATCCTGCATGTGCCAGCCTCCTGCACCCACCTCACTGGGCTTCTGTTTCCATCACGGCCACGTGGCTCCGAAGGGCTTGGGCCACTACTTCTGCGAGTTGGCGAAGAAGAGCGAGGGCACTGAGTATCTCTTAAAGAGGCAACACCAGCATGATGGCCTCATTCTCTTCCAGGAGGTGCTGAAGCCTTCCCAAGATGATTGGGGTAGAACTCAGGGCACCATGGGAGCCGCCATGGCCTTGGAGACGAACCTGAACCAGGCCCTTTTGGATCTGCTTGCCCTGGGTTCCACCCGCAAAGACTCGGCTCTTTGACTTCCTGGAGAACCACTTCCTGGATGAGGAGGTGAAACTCATCAAGAAGAGGAGCAACCACCTGACTCACCTTGGCAGGCTGGCCGGTAAATGGCAGTAAAATACCAATAATGAATTTAGAAGAACAGATGAAGTTAGAAAAATCACTATTTTACAAGCACCATGTGGATATTTTTTAACCCAGGCAAGAATTGTCAATAGAGGCTGAAACTATTCAGTGAAGTGTGATGAGGAACAATATATTTACATGGTTTCAAAGTAATCTCGTCCATAATACACAAAGTGTTCACTAATCATGAAGGGAAAAATAGTAATTCTACAGTGGAAATAATTGGCAGATGTCATCTTAACCAAGTGGTCAAAGTTATGATTACCAGTAATGAGCAAATCAACATCACTGATGTCTTTTGATAACAATGTACTGAGAGGAACACAGCATCCTTTCTGGGATATTTGAGCCCAGAATACATACCCTGAATCTAATCATGAAGAAACAGCAAACAAACTCAAACTGAGGAATATTCTACAAAATAACTTGTCTGTATTTATAAAAAAGTATTCAATATCTTGCCCAGCCGGTGTGGCTCAACTGGTTGAGCATCGTCCCATGAACCAGGAGGTCACTGGTTTAATTCTCTGTCAGGGCACATGTCTGGGTTTTGGGCCTGATCTCCAGTGGGGGGCATGCAGGAGGCAGCTGATCATGTTTCTCTCTCATGGATTTTTCTGTCTCTCTCCCTCTCCCTTCCTCTCTCTAAAATCAATAAAAAAAATCTAAAAGTAAAATATGAAAATATCAATGTAGTAGGGACAAAGAAAGGCTGAAGGATATTCCAGATTAACAGAAACGAAAACAAACAAATAAAAAAACAGCAAAAACAACAACAAATAAAACAAAACCCAACATTTAACAATGTATAACCTGGATTAGGCCCTTTTTAAAATTGCTATACCCCTTTTATTTATTTTTTTTTTAGCCCAATTGTCCTCATAATGTTCTTTATAGAAATATGGACTACATATTAGATACTAGTTTTATGTCAATGTTAAACTTCTTGACTTTGACAATTATGTTGGGGTTACATAAAAGAAACTCCAATTCAGGGATAAATCAGGTCTGCAACTCACTCTCCAGTGGTTCAGAAGAAAGATAGATAGGTAGATATGTAGCTAGACAGACAGGTACACATAAAAACCTCTGTAACACCAACCACAGGGACAATTAAAGAGTTTATCACTCTTGTAAGAGAGCACTTGGCACTTCAATAAGACAAATTGAACTTGCAGGATATATCATTCAATCTACAAACTATAACAGGTTCCATGTTAAGTCTATCTAACTCTATGTATTTCTATATACTGAATTCCATCTATCTATCTATCTATCTATCTATCTATCTATTATCTATCTATCTATCTATCTATTATCTATCTATCTATCTATCTATCTATCTATCTATCTATCTATCTATCTATCTATCCATCCATCCATCCTTCTCCTTCATTGCAGAATGGTACCTCTAGAGCAAGATGGGACTTTGGTTATAAAATATATAGGAAGTTATATTTTAGGGTCCCATCCACAAATTTGGTCCTGCTCTATACTAAACAGAAGCAAGGTGTTGTTTTTTATTATATATATATTTAAATAGGCTTTTATCGATTTTTTAGAGAGAGAGGAAGGGAGAGAAAGATAGAAACATCGATGAGCGAGAAACATCGATCAGCTGCCTCCTGCACACCCCTACTGGAGATTGAGCCCACAGCCCCAGCACGTGCCCTGACTGGGAATCAAACCCAGACCTCTCAGACCATGGGACAACGGTCAATCCACTGAGCCACACTTGTCAGGCCAGAAGCAATTTTTTTAAAAGGACCAGCCAGGAACCAGTATTTATATCATGGCCACTGGGCACCCGGCACTGAGATTCTCTTTCTCCATCTCCAACACAATATCTTTGGCTAATCTAGTGGCCTGCTTTGAATTGACTATGGCCAAAGGTCTAAGTTTCCAAAATTTAAATAATAGCTAAATTGGGCTTCAGTCTGACCATGAAGTAATTTGAGAGTGCCTCTGGCCAAAAGTGTCTCCATAACTGCATGGATCTTAAATTTCTATTAGCTCTATTTCTCTTAGTTCTATTTCCTTACATCAAAACATTGGGTACCTCATTAAAAACAGTGATTATTGGACTTAGATTTATGTTTGATTTTTCTAACTTTTAAAGACTTCGATCAGTCAGTTGTCCCTTTTGTCTCCTGTGGCTTGAAGTCCTTTCTCCCTCCTATCTCTTTCTCTTCAAGATATAAGCATGCCCAGGTCTCTCCCATCCTGAAACAACGTCTTCCCCAACCCCCTCACCCTATGTGATTCCACCCACCTCCCTTTAGATTTAATATTAATGAGAGCTGTCTAAATTCATAGCCTCTGTTTATCTTCCATTTGCTCACCAACCTTGCTATCTTGCTTTGGTCCCCACCATTCTACAATCCCATTCTCTTAAGTGTTCTCTTTGCTTTCAAGTTTTATTGGACACTTTTCCCGTTCTTATCCTCCTTGGTCTTTCAGAAGCTTTGGGCTTTGTTGACACACCATCCTTTTTGAAATCTCTCTTCCACAGGCTCCTATCCTCCCTACTCTCGGTTTTCATCCAACATGTCTGCACCCAGCTTGTCAGTCTTCTTGTCAGGCTCCTCTTTCTCTGGCCTTCCTTTATTTTAGTTATTTTATTTTCTTAAATCCTCACCCAAGGATATTTTTTCCATTTATTTTCAGACAGAGTGGGAAGGAGAGAGAGAGGGGGAAACATTGATTCAAAAGAGACACATCGACTGGTTGCCTCTCGCACAATCCTGACCAGGACCAGGGACCAAACCGCAACCAAGGTACGTGCCCTTGACCGGAATTGAACCTGTGACTCTTTGGTCCTCAGGCTGATGCTCTAACTGCTGAGCCAAACCAGCCAGGGCTGGCCATCCTTTAAACGACAACTTTTCCTATTTGTTTTTTTCTACACAACCTCCCTAGGTAAAAATCATCCATTTCCATTATTGCCTAGAATCTGAATACATCTAAATCCATCTATATTTTAGATATTCTTGAGTCCCCGACTAAAATACTCATTTATTCGCTCTCAACAAGATATTTTCATATGTATTTATTATGGGTTGAATTGGGTTTCCCCTAAAAGAGGTTGAAGTCCGAATCCCACTGGTACTTGTGAATGTGAACTTATTTGGAAATAGAATCTTTGAAGATGACTAAGTTAAGTTGAGGTTATTAGGGTGGGTCATAATCCAATATACTGTGTCCTTATAAAAAGGGGAAATTTGGACACATAATCAGGTACACACACACACAAGGAGAACATCATGTGAAGATGAAGGCAGAGATTTAGAAGCCAAAGAGAGAGGCCTGGAACAGATCCTTCCCTCACAAGGTACCAACCCTGCCAACATCTTCATCTCAGATTTCTGGTCCCCAGAACTGCGAGACCATAAGTTTCTGTTTTTTAAGCTCCCAGTTTGTAGTATTTGTTATGGTGGCCCCAGTAAATGGATACAGGTGGTAATAACTAATTCCTATGTAGTACTTTCCATGGGCCAAGTACCTTTTCAGAATATTCTATGTATTAACTAATTTAATTCTTACACTCATCTGTGAAGGAGATACTGTTTCCCCATTTCACAGCTGGGGAGACTGAGGTGTGAGCTCACGCAGTATGGCTCTCAGAACCTGAGCCACAGCCTTTCTGCTGTTTCTTTTTCCACCAGAACAAGCTGTCTAGGCAGCTCTGAGGCCCTCTCCTTCTCATGTCCGCTCCCCACTCTTCCCTGGGTAATAAGGAGGAGAATTAGGACAATGCATCCCCTCAGGTTTCACAGTAAGAAGATCTGGACTCAGTTCCCATTGAAATGTTTTAATCTAACACTGTTACAGCCAGACTCGTGTTTTAGAAAGAATTCCGCCGGTGGTGTGGAAGTGAGATGGCAGTATTCAAATGGAAGAGATAGTTACAGTCCCAAAAGAGGAAATGAAAGCCTGCGTAAAGGCAGCCTTAGTGGGGATGGAAGGGAGGACAGACTGCAGGCACACTCCAGGGTTGTGATCACTGTGATTTGGTCTGTGGCTCTTGGAGGTGAGGAAGAGGGAGGAGTCAAGGACCGCTTACATCCTCCGGCTCCGGGAGCTGGGTGGCTAGAGTTCCCACTAGCCAAGATAAGGAATACAGGAAAATAATTGGTTTTGAGGATGATTACTCAAGTAGAGCCTTCTAGAAAGCAGATGAATATTCAGGCTTGAAGTTCAGGAAGGGGTTTTGGGCTGGTTAACAGAATTCAGAATTCTAAGCAGATAACCGGTATTCACAGACATGGGATAAAGGGGGTCCTGGAGAGATTTCCCTTGGACTTGTTACCCCTTCTCCCACCTTTTCCCATTCAGCTTGTTGAGCAGTGAACAGTTTCTTTAGGTAAGGAAAAGGCTAACCTACGACCTCAGCTTAGAGAGCATCCCACCAGCACCAGAGGCTTTGTCTTCCGGGGAGGTCACTGGGGTGCTCCTGATACATAGTGACTTAGGTGCCCTGCTTGACCCATTTAGAGAAGAGAAGGAGGCTTATGGGCCCATTGGTATGAATGGAGACATCTCTGATGAAGTCTGCTGATTCCCAGATGCTTAAGAAAGACTATTTCTCCTCTGTGCAGCGTGGGAGATCCACCTCAAGATATGGAACCAGGGATGCTCCCTCCATACCAAGCTGGCTCCTCTGTCATTGAGTTCATAGCTAGGTCCCACATTACAAGTCTCTCCGGCCAACAGCTCCATCCCTCCCTTCAGGAAACGTCCACAGAGGGCACTGTCACCTTGCCCGGACCTTCCCCGTGTCAGGCCATCTCAAGGAGCCCTCAGGTTTCCATTGGATGAACTCTGATGCTCAGGTATGACTTGTGTTGGGTGGATCTTCATGTCCAGCTAGGCTTCCATTGCACCTTGACGT